TCCCCTTGTGTCCCAAGGCGGATGTCAACAGTGTTTTGATCCCCTGGATCTGTGCTACTCGCTGCCAGCTGCACGATCGGTTTAGTCAGGACTTGCCAGTCCTGCGTCTGCACTCTGATAGGGGCGGTGAGTTCTTTTCTGACCTCCTTGCGGAGTTTTGTCGAGACGAGGGCATCCGCCACTCGTCCACGCTTCCGCCCCCTCCTAAGCAAAATGGGATTGCTGAGCGTCGCATTGGCTTGATCATGGAGGTTGCTCGTACCGCCATGCGGCTGCTCCCCATTTTCTGTGGCCGTTTGCGGTCCGATACGCTTTGCATCAGCTCAACCTCTGGCCCCGTGTCTCTTTGCCAGAGACCTCGCCCACACTTCGTTGGACGGGACAGGATGGTGATGCATCGGTGTTTCGGGTCTAGGGCGCGCTCTCCCTAGTTCGCGATACCACTGCGAGCAAGCTCTCCCCTCGCACTCTTCGCTACGTCCTCCTTGGCTTCCCCACCGACGCCCCGCCATGGCAGTTCTACCATCCGAGCTCGCGTCGAGTCTTCTCCTCCCAGGACGTCACCTTTGACGAGTCTGTCTGTTATCACAGGCTTCACCCGCACGCGTCCCTCCCTGTCCCCCTCGCACCTCTCTTCCTGGTACCAGTCCCCCTCCCCCCCCCGGTCGACCCCCTCCCCCCACAGGGTCCTGCTCCATCAGGTGTGTCTCAGGTAGACCCACCCCCCTTGGTTGAGCCTTTGGAGGTCTCTTCTGACTCCTCTGTCCCAGCTGAGGGGGGTGACCCCGCCGCTGACAACACGGCGGCCACTCGCCACTCTCCACGCTTGGAGACCCCCCCTGGTTTCCCCCCTCGGCTGTCTTCGCCACCTCCGCAGCCTGCTGCTGTGGACTCTGGAGTTGAGACTGCTGGTGTTGAGCCTGGAGGTGCTGAGGCGGAGGGTGAGGGTTCTGGGGGTGCTGCGACTGGGGGTGCTGGTTCTGGGGGCGCTGAGACTGGGGGTGCTGACTCTGGGGGTGCTGCGAGTCCTGGTGGCGGTGGTGTCAGAATGTTATATTTGTCTAGCCTGCAGTGGGGTACTCAATAGTGAGTACAGCCCAATCTAGGGTTTGCTAGTGCAACCCCTCTTTCTCGTTTCTAACTTTCAACTGCTGTTTCTGACATGGAATCAGAGCAGGTCGACCCTCCCGGGTCGATCCTGTTGATGGGCCCACCAAGACTTCCGCTGTCATCACTGCCTATCGCGCGCCTCGGGCGCGCGCTGCCTTTCTACTTGCCGCGCGCCCGTGGCGCGCGGCAATTTTTCTTCCCGCCGCGCGCTCAGGGCGCGCGGCGGTTTTTCTGCCCGTCGCGCCGCCCTAGGGGCAGCGCGGCGCCCTATACTGCCCGTCGTGTGCCCCGTGGCGCGCGACGGTGCCCTGCCCGTCGCGCGCCCTGGGGCGCACGGCGGTTTCGTCGCCCCGGGGGGCTCGTGCGCGGCCCCCTTCGTCGCCCGTCTTGGCGCCATCGGGGGCCCGCACGGCCCCCCCTTCCGTCGCCCGGCGTGGCGCCCTTGGGGGCCCGCGCGTGACCCCTTCCCGTCGCCAGTCGAGGCGACCCTGGGGGGCCGACATAAGGGGGCCGCGCGTCGGCCCCTCCCGTCTTCGTCGCGGCCCTGCCCGGCCCTGCCGTCCTGTCCCGGCCCTGCCCTTCTGCCGCCCCCGTTACGGCCCTGCCCTGCTGCCGCCCCTGCTGCGGCCCTACCCTGTGTTGGGGTTTGGGGGTGGCGAGTATGGGGGTGAAGGATGTGTGCGGTCTCCCCTGCTCCTCCTCCTCCTCCGTCTCCCACTGCTGCAGCTGCCGCTGAGGGGGGTGGGTGTGTGGGAGACGATGGAGTGGCACTAGGGGGGTGTGTCGTGTGGGAGTGAAACTAGGGGTGCAGCGGGGGGTGTGTGAAAGGGGGGTGCGACAGTGGGGGAGGTTGAAGGGAAGTAGCCGTCGTGTTGCCAGCAGTGCCAGTAGTCCGGAGGTGCGCGTCCGGTAGCCCAGTGATGCTGCTGCGCCAGTCGCCCGTGGGTCCGTTGCTCCTGCCGCTCGTCTTAGCCGCGGAGCCAGTTTCTCCTGTAGTCCGGAGGTGCGCCTCCGGTAGCCACAGTGCGCGCCGCTCCTGTTGCCCATGTGTCTGCAGCTTCAGCCGTTGCCTCCTCTCTCCTTTCCTATCAGTCCAGCCTCCTCCTCCTCACTTGCCCTCTGTGATAGCCTCTAGCTTTACTTATTGCTGTGAACTATAAACTGTTGCTTCTTGTACTTGTGCTCAGAATGTGTGGTGACTTTGTGATCCACCCTGAGCTTGTTTTGCTTTGCCTGCTGTGTTGATTACACCCCACTTTGGCTATGGGGGTGTGTCAGAATGTTATATTTGTCTAGCCTGCAGTGGGGTACTCAATAGTGAGTACATCCCAATCTAGGGTTTGCTATATGTACTCAACTGCTTGCTAGTGCAACCCCTCTTTCTCGTTTCTAACTTTCAACTGCTGTTTCTGACAGGTGGAGGGTCCAGTGCTGCTGGTGCTGGAGGTGCTGGAGGTGCTGGTGCTGGAGGTGCTGGAGGTGCTGGTCCTGGAGGTCCTCCTAGTGCTGGAGGTGCTGTAGGTGCTGGCGTTGCTGGTGCTGGAGGTGCTAGAGGTTCTAGAGGTACTACTGGTGCTGGAGGTACTGGAGCTGCTGGTGCTGGAGGTACTGGAGCTGTTGGTGCTGTAGGTGCTGGAGGTGCTGGAGATGCTGCAGGTGCTGGAGGTGCTGGAGCTACCTCTGCTGGAGGTATTGGAGGTCCTGCTGGTACTGGAGGTACTGGACCTGCTGGTGCGCTTAGTCACCTTCTCGCCCTTTCGCCAGCTCCTACTGAGTTCCCAGTCGCTGATACTACTCCTCCGTTACTGTTCCCACAGCTCCTGCCTCACTCCCCACTGCCTGCTCCTACTCCTTACACTGCTGTGACAGAGTCCCTGATTGAGCGTCGAGAGCCTGAGACTCGTGCTTCCACTCCTGAGCGTCGAGAGCCTGAGACTAGAGCTTCTGTCCGTGCTCGTGTTCCTCGTGTTCGTCGTTCCCGTGCTCCGGCTGTCCCAGGCACTCATGATATGACACTCCGTCCTTTCTCTGTTCCACTGCGTGTTGTCCTGCCTTCACCTCTTGAGTCTTCTCTTCCCGCTGGTGCTGACCCTCCGTCTAACCTTGCTCGTGCGTCCAGTCCAACTGTTACTCGCTTTCTTGCTACGGCTGTGACGGACTCAACGCTCTCGTCTCCTGCAGGGTGTTACAATACATGGATTGGCGTGGTGGAGAGTGTTAAAGAATGTTAAAGGCGGCTGCATTTATGCTAATTAACGAGTTAATTCTTCAAAACAAGTCTTGAGTGTGCGGAGAGCTGGGCCTTGTTAGAATCTACGACCGACACAGGTGTGTTTAGATCCTCGAGGATCGGGTTTTGAGTCGTCTCAAAACTCGTGGTGGAAAGTCGTAGTAGCAGGGAGGAATGTGAGGCTTTGGCTGCACCAATGAGTTAGTTGTTCGCAATGAGCTGGTGTTGTTATGCAAAATATGCGTAGCTCTAGGAACCTTCAGCTGGAGAGCAGAGTGGATCATGATCATCACAGGCTGGACATATTTTCTTCAGAGTATCTGAAACTTATGGTGGATAATGGTGTCTACTCCTGCCTTTCATTTATTTCCTGCTTAGACTCATCATCCATTTTGCCTTGCTGCGTCGGCTAACTCCGCGAATCCCATGATTTCTCGCACAGCAATCAAGTATGTTCAATCACTCACTGTTACAATTTACCACTCCATCTCTTACCCCCTGCTGTTTCTTACTCTGTACCTCACACAGGGTATGTGTGCTGACAACAATGCACATGGCTTCACAACCCGCCTCTACGACCTGGACTTGGGAAACGGGCCAAGTTACTCATTTGCCAACTGCTTGCAGCACAAGCCTGCAGGATGCAACCTGTGGACGGAGTGTATCAAGCACATTTGGAAGGAAGTCGTCTATTTGTAATAGAAGTGGTTTGTAATAAAAGTGGTTTGTTTCTGGGGGTTTCTTTCACTTGCCTACACTCTATGTACTTGGAGAATGGGCCAAGTTTTTTAATTTCAATTGTTTGAAGCATTATCCTGCATGATGCTATATGTGGATGGGGTGTGACAAGCAAGAGGCGTACAGTTGTGTACAGGTATAGCAGTGTCATGAGGTAAGACTACATATGTACTTGTGTTTAAACTATCTTCGACTATGTAGTGCTTTCACTTCTGGCTTTGTTCATGTTTCGAGGGCGTGACAAGTGGAGTATCTCTGGTCCTCGGACAAGTGAGTGGTTGGAATTCACGGACCTCAGGAACTCCGACTACCGCCTAGATTTCCCCAAGGGTGGGCGGAGAACCGACACCACACACTTCAGGTCAGGGCACTCTGGGATTTCCTGAAAATCTGACCGTTGGTTCTTGTAACACCTCCTTGCTGGTATCTCCGCCGCAAAGTTGGCTGGAGTGGATCATCATCGTTTGACACAAGATTGATGAGTGTGAACGTGTGAGAGGCAGCTGGTACTGCATATGCGACTCCTGTATACTTTATTACGCTGCTACTCGTGCAGTTAGGAGAGTGGTCTGCAAGTACTGTTTGTGAGAGGGTAGTGTGCGAGGTTGGGCCTTGCAGCGCCACAGAAAGTAGCGATGGCCGTTGGATTAGTGAAACGCCCTGGTAATGTGGACGTACGGAATGTTACGACTGGCGAGCGGAGGTGATAACTGGATTGCTTGCAGTCCGTCGATTCCGCTAAATTTTCTATAGGCGTCTGATCACTGTTTTTATTCGCCTCCACTACGCCTTAGTGCGGGTAAGCGAGAAGCGGCGCGAGGCGAAGCGGAGCTATGGTCTGAGTCGTTACTTCCTGACCAGCTCAAGCTTTCCAAGGGCTCGGCGAATTCGACGACGGACGTACGCGTTACTAGCAGGCGCCATGTCGTTCTCTCAGGAAAGAGACTCCAAGGTGTGTTTCAGTGCAAGTCTCTCGGTGGTTCGCACTCTGGTGGTTGTGGGACTGGTCGCACGTCGTAAATTGCGACGACGTGCGACTGGGTCACTCTGCGACGGGGCTTAATTTGCGACATGTTGCGACTGTGTCCCCTCCTCTTTTCCCCTCTCCCAACCCCCCGCCATACAGGCATCTCTTTCCCCCGACTGGTCCGCACGCTTGCGCCCAGTCGCAGGTCCCCCGCTTTCCGCCACCCACAGCCGGGTTACGTCAAGAGCCGCGCGCATTCCCCCACCCCGCGCCCGTCTCTACCCCACGCCGTGCGCTTCCCCCGCGACAAGGGGGGATGGGAAGGCGCACGTGTGGCTGCCGTTTCGGCTGGGGATGGGTCCAGGTGGACTGGGCGGCATCTCTTGGCAGCATGTGACTCTGCACGTGGTGCAAGTGGCGGTGGGATGTGCCACTGGAATCGGACGGTCATCCTTGCACGATCATGCGCATCGTAGACAAAGAAGATCCTCAAGAGTGCCATCGCAATCCCCGTCATCGCCATACTCGTTACCAGCAACAGAATCATCCTCGTTAATATCATCCTCCTTATTAACGTCTTCAACAACAACACCAGTGGCACCATCAGCCGTTGCAAAGCTGTTGCAGACAGGAAACGCTGCGGCGCTGCTTCTCGTTTGCCAGGTATGTAAAGAATGCTTAACTGAGAATTGACTATTCTCTACACGTGCCATGTGTGCAACTCTTCTAACACAGGCAGACTTTACTCCTGCCACGTGTTCAATGCCACCTGTTCATGCTTTTGTTTGGATTGAACTGTCACCGACTTACTCTCACTACCTCACGACCCTTATCCCCTCCCTGCCTTCCCTCCCCTTTCCCGTTCTTACACTTGCTCTACGCCATTCTTCCTGTACCTTCCCCCCTTCCTTCCCCCCCTGCCCCCCTCTCTCCCGTCCGCCCACCCTCTTCCCAAGCAGGCCCTCTTCCCAGCGTCCTTCTCTGTCGCAACACCCACTCTCGCCCTCCTTCACCTCCTTTCCTCCTCGCCCCTCCTCTCCCCATTCTCCCGCCTCTTCTCCCCTCTCTCCCGCGCCCTCGCTCCCCTCTTGCGCATCCTCTCACTCCGCCTCCCCTTGCGTCCTCGCCTGGCCAGCAGCACAGGCGGGGGGACCAGCTTGAGCGGGGGAGGAGGAGGGATGGGGATGGGGGATGCTGATGGGGAGGAAGGGGAGAATGATGGGGATGTGGAAGAGGATGGGGGGGATGAATTTTGGAATGGGGGCGAATCGGACATCAATGGGGAGGAGAACACGTATGCTGATGATGGCAATGGTGATTATTGTAATGATAACGAGTCTAATTATATTGGTGATGATTGTGATGATGCTGCGGGTGCGTCATCTGGCGAAATGCATGACCTGGCTGATGCTGACGTGGAGCATGGCTGGGGAAGGCACCTGCGCCAGGTGCGCCTGCATGCGCCAGGGCAGACGGAGGGGGAAGAATGGGGGGAGACAAGGGGAGGCGCGGGAGGCGGAGGCGTGTTTGGGAGGGCAGCAGTGGCGGTGGCAGTGGGCGGCGCTATACTCAAGAGGATGGCGCCAAGATTACATGTGAGTTGGACGCGTTTTCAAACACCTCAGTAACAGCACTTGTTGGTTAGCAATAAGTGCGACAATCATGAAAAGGATGGTGCCGCTGAGCCGAGGATGGTGGAATGAGTCGCATGTGCTGTTGTACGGGGAAGGGGCGTGTGGAAGCTCATACTCCATTGCTCGCATCCACTCCCTCCCTGCTTGTCCCTACAGCATACGCTGGTCTGTCTGGGCGCGTCCCTGCCAATAGCCATGGAGTATGAGCGAGTGCGGGTGGGAAGTTGCAGCTCACACTCCTGTTCTCTGCTTCTACTCCCTCCCCTCCCTCTCCCTCACAGCACACGCTGGTCTGCCTGGGCGCGTCCCTGCCAATAGCCGTGGAGTATGAGCGAGTGCGGGTGGGAAGTTGCAGCTCACACTCCTGTTCTCTGCTTCTACTCCCTCCCCTCCCTCTCCCTCACAGCACACGCTGGTCTGCCTGGGCGCGTCCCTGCCAATAGCCGTGGAGTATGAGCGAGTGCGGGTTGGAAGTTGCAGCTCACACTCCTGTTCTCTGCTTCTACTCCCTCCCCTCCCTCTCCCTCACAGCACACGCTGGTCTGCCTGGGCGCGTCCCTGCCAATAGCCGTGGAGTATGAGCGAGTGCGGGTGGGAAGTTGCAGCTCACACTCCTGTTCTCTGCTTCTACTCCCTCCCCTCCCTCTCCCTCACAGCACACGCTGGTCTGCCTGGGCGCGTCCCTGCCAATAGCCGTGGAGTATGAGCGAGTGCGGGTGGGAAGTTGCAGCTCACACTCCTGTTCTCTGCTTCTACTCCCTCCCCTCCCTCTCCCTCACAGCACACGCTGGTCTGCCTGGGCGCGTCCCTGCCAATAGCCGTGGAGTATGAGCGAGTGCGGGTGGGAAGTTGCAGCTCACACTCCTGTTCTCTGCTTCTACTCCCTCCCCTCCCTCTCCCTCACAGCACACGCTGGTCTGCCTGGGCGCGTCCCTGCCAATAGCCGTGGAGTATGAGCGAGTGCGGGTGGGAAGTTGCAGCTCACACTCCTGTTCTCTGCTTCTAATCCCTCCCCTCCCTCTCCCTCACAGCACACGCTGGTCTGCCTGGGCGCGTCCCTGCCAATAGCCGTGGAGTATGAGCGAGTGCGGGTGGGAAGTTGCAGCTCACACTCCTGTTCTCTGCTTCTACTCCCTCCCCTCCCTCTCCCTCACAGCACACGCTGGTCTGCCTGGGCGCGTCCCTGCCAATAGCCGTGGAGTATGAGCGAGTGCGGGTGGGAAGTTGCAGCTCACACTCCTGTTCTCTGCTTCTACTCCCTCCCCTTCCTCTCCCTCACAGCACACGCTGGTCTGCCTGGGCGCGTCCCTGCCAATAGCCGTGGAGTATGAGCGAGTGCGGGTTGGAAGTTGCAGCTCACACTCCTGTTCTCTGCTTCTACTCCCTCCCCTCCCTCTCCCTCACAGCACACGCTGGTCTGCCTGGGCGCGTCCCTGCCAATAGCCGTGGAGTATGAGCGAGTGCGGGTGGGAAGTTGCAGCTCACACTCCTGTTCTCTGCTTCTACTCCCTCCCCTCCCTCTCCCTCACAGCACACGCTGGTCTGCCTGGGCGCGTCCCTGCCAATAGCCGTGGAGTATGAGCGAGTGCGGATGCGCGTGGGGAAGGGCCCAGCAGGGGCGTGTGGGAGGGATGGAGAGGCGGCGTGGAGGAGGGCGCATAGAAGAGCAGCAAGCCGAGTGGCAAAGCTCATCAAGACGTACCACGAGTGAGTGGGTTGGCCTGTGATGGGCTGATGTGAGAGTTTGCGTGATGATGGGATGGCTTGAGTGGACTTTATGGGGATAAAGGTTTGGGAGTATTTGTAGGAGGGAGGGGGGGGTGTGTGCCATGATGGAGGGTGCATAGGAGAGCAGCAAGGCGAGTGGCGAAGCTGATGTAGTCCTACCACGAGTGAGTATCAAAGAGCTCCATCGATGGTTCATCCACCACTTGTGGGAAAGACAAGTGGGTGGTCTACCATGCTTCGTGTGACTTACCGCGTCTAACAAATCGAGCGGGCGCTATTCGTATGGCCTCTTCTCTCATCTTATCACATCCTCCATCCTCCATCCTCCATCCTCCATCCTCCATCTCTCCTCCACCTCTCATGCTTCTCCTCTCACATCTGTTGCATTCTCCTCCTTTTTTTGCCACGTGGCAGCATCCCACAGGCTGGTGGCGTCCTGGACCTGACAGAGGCCGCCACTCTGCTGCACTACAGGACAAACAGCGCCGCCCCATACATCATGTCAACGCCCATCCTCCCGCCGTCATTGGTGTCAGCAGCAGCAGCAGCAGCAGGACCACCCTTCCCCTTCCCCTCCCCATCCCTCTCATCACCATACCCCTGGCCTTCCACTCACAGTCTCGTCACTCTCTCCTTTCCTCTTTCATCGCCCTTCCCCTCTCATAAACCGGAACGGAAGGGGGCGGAGAAGGGGGAAGTGGGGCAGGCATTGGGCCAGGGAGAGGAGGAGATTGGGGAGCAGAGAGTGGAGAAAGGGGAGGGCATGAGCAGCGGCAACAGCAGCAGAATTAGCAGCAGGAGCAGCAGTTTAGGTTGCAGCACTGACCTGATCATTAATGATGGAAGCTCCTGGACTGGTTCGGATACCAGCAGCGCCAGTAGCAGCCCCACCAGCAGCAGCAGCCCCTTGAGAAGCTACAACATGAGCAGCAGCGGGACTAGTAGCACTCGCAGCAATAGCAGCAGCAGTGGTAGCAGCGGCAGCAAGAAGAGAAGCAGTTTATTTTCTTCATTTTTGGGGCGCTGCATAAACAGCAGCAGCGGTAACAACACGAGCAACAGCACAATTCCCTTAGCAAGACAGTGCCACCAATGCCAAGGCTTGCCAGACCCTGTGCCCTTACCCAATGTGACTATAGAAGCAGCCACTCACGTACCCCCCCTTAGCAGCAACGTCAACCTCTCACAACCCCATCAGGGGCACATGGCACGCTCTGATTGGCCGCTGTCATGCTGGCAACATGCCTTTTCTCTCTTCCTTCGGGCTGTCTTTCTCGCTCTCATCTTCTCCCCCCTCCTCCTCCTCGGCCCCCTCCTGCTGCTGCTGCACCGCATACTGCCAGACGCACAGGCAGGCGAGGGGGGAAAAGAAGCAGGAGAAGAGACAGGGGAGAGCAAGGGGGTAGTGGCCGCTCGGCAGAATCAATCCACGGAAGGTTCCTCAAACAAACCTCCGTCGGAGCAAGCAGCTGCACAGGAAGCTTCCCAAACGGAACCTTCCATGAAGCAGCGGTGTCGGGACGCCATCCACCAGCTGCTGCTATTCGCCCTGCGCCGAGGCGGAGCAGCGTTCATAAAATGGGGCCAATGGGCCTCCACCAGAGAGGACCTCCTCCCCCCCTCCCTCTGCCTCGTCCTCGGGTCCCTCCAAGACCAGGCCCCCACGCACTCCTTCTCGCACACGCGCCGCGCCGTGCGGAAATACCTCGGGTGCCCGTTGGAGGATCTGTTTGTGGAGTTTGAGAGGGAGGCGCTGGCGTCGGGGAGTATAGCGCAGGTGCACCGGGCGAGAGTGAGGGGTGCGTGTGCGCACGTGCCTGAGTGGGTGGTGGTGAAAGTGCGGCATCCGCGCGTGGGGTTGCGGATCAAGCAGGATTTTGAGGTGATGGCGGGGGTGGCTGCGGTGGTGGATCGAGTGCCGGGGCTTAAGTGGATTCGGCTGCAGGATAGCCTGGAGCAGTTCAGCCACACGATGAGAGAGCAGGTGAGAGGTTGGGATTGAGAATAAAGAGAAGGAATGGGGGAGAAGTGGGCTTGAGCTTGAGTGTGGGCCACGGTTCAAGTGGATTCGGGTGCAGGATAGCCTGGAGCAGTTCAGCCACACGATGGGAGAGCAGGTGAGAATGGAATTGAGAGTGGATATTACAAAGGGGAAGGATTGGGGGGGATAGTGGGTTTGAGCTTGAGTGTGTGCCGTGCCGGGGCTCAAATGGATTCGGCTGCAGGATAGCTTGGAGCAGTTCAGCCACACTATGGGAGAGCAGGTGAGAATGGAATTGAGAGTGGATATTACAAAGGGGAAGGATTGGGGGGGATAGTGGGTTTGAGCTTGAGTGTGTGCCGTGCCGGGGCTCAAATGGATTCGGTTGCAGGATAGCTTGGAGCAGTTCAGCCACACGATGGGAGAGCAGGTGAGCATCGCGTTAAGGCCGCACAAGGGAAGAGCTGGAATGGGGAGATATGGGCTTTAGGCATGCAATGCAAGTTGGCGGGGGTGGCTGCGGTGGTGGATGGGTACCACCGGGGCTTCAGTGGATTCGGTTACAGGATAGCCTGGAGCAGTTCAGCCACACGATGGGAGAGCAGGTGAGCATGGGGAGCCTCGAGGAAAGACCAGGAACGGGGGAGGTGGGCTTGAATGGCAATGTGTGTCGGGGCTCAGGTGGATTCGGGTGCAGGATATGTTAGAATGTGAGCGAATGAATGAAACAGAGAAGAGGGGTTTCACTAGCAAGCAGTTGAGTACATATAGCAAACCCTAGATTGGGCTGTACTCACTATTGAGTACCCCACTGCAGGCTAGACAAATATAACATTCTGACACACCCCCATAGCCAAAGTGGGGTGTAATCAGCACAACAAGCAAAGCAAAGCAAAAACAAGCTCAGGGTGGATCACAATGTCACCACACATTCTGAGCACAAGTACAAAAAGTAACAGTTTATAGTTCACAGCAATAAGTAAAGCTAGAGGCTATCACAGAGGGCAAGTGAAGAGGAGGATGCAGAACTGATAGGAAAGGAGAGAGGAGGCAACAGCTGAAGCTGCAGACACACGGGCAACAGGAGCGGCGCGCATTGTGGCTACCGGAAGCGCACCTCCGGACTACAGGAGTAACTGGCTCCGCGGCTAAGACGAGCGGCAGGAGCAACGGACCCACGGGCGACTGGCGCAGCAGGCTCGCTGGGCTACCGGAGGCGCACCTCCGGACTACAGGCACTGCTGGCAACACAACTGCTACGTCCCTTCAACCTCCCCCACTGTCGCACCCCCTTTTCACACACCCCCTTTTCACACACTCCCTGCTGCACCTCTAGCACTACTCACACTCCACCCCCTCGCACCACTCCGTCGGCTCCCACACACCCACCCCCCTCAGCGGCAGCTGCAGCAGTGGGAGACGGAGGAGGAGGAGGAGCAGGGGAGGCCGCACACACCCTTCACCCCCACACTCGCCACCCCCAAACCCCAACACAGGGCAGGGCCGTAGCAGGGGCGGCAGCAGGGCAGGGCCGGGACAGGGCCGGGGCAGGACGGCAGGGCAGGGCAGGGCCGCGACGAAGACGGGAGGGGCCGACGCGCGGCCCCCAAGGGCGCCGTGACGGGCGACAAAAGGGGCGACGCGCGACCCCCCCCAGGTCGCCTCGACAGGCGACGGGAAAAGGCGGGGGGGGGGGGGGGGGTGCGCGGGCCCCCGGTGCGCCGCGACAGGCGACGAAACCGCCGCACGCCTCGAGGCGCACGACGGGCAGGGCACCATCGCGCGCCACGGGGCGCACGACGGACAGGCAGGGCACCGTCGCGCGCCACGGGGCGCACGACGGGCAGGCAGGGCACCGTCACGCGCCTCGGGGCGCACGACGGGTAGGCAGGGCGTCGCGCGTTCTGCAGGGCGGCGCGTCGTGCAGAAAACCGCCGCGCGCGCCACGAGCGCGCGGCAGGGACGAAAACAGCGCGCGCCCGAGGCGCGCGATAGGCAGGACAGCAGTGGAAGATGACGGTGGGCCCATGCACAGGATCGACCCAGAAGGGTCGACCTGCTCTGATAGCATGTTAGAATGTGAGCGAATGAATGAAACAGAGAAGAGGGGTTTCACTAGCAAGCAGTTGAGTACATATAGCAAACCCTAGATTGGGCTGTACTCACTATTGAGTACCCCACTGCAGGCTAGACAAATATAACATTCTGACAGGATAGCCTAGAGCAGTTGAGCCACACGATGATTGAGCAGGTGAGGTTGGGATTGAGGGTGACCGTGGGATTGGAGGGTGAGTGAGATGTTGAAAACTGTTCAGCAGTAACAATGGGATTCGTACAAAGCTTCCCCTCTCCCTCCGTGACCCCATCAACCATTCCCCTCCCTCCCAGGCTGATCTGAGAGTGGAGGCTTATCACGCCCACCGCATGTACAGTGACTTCTATCCCGTGAGGGAGAGGGTGGTGATCGCCCAGGTGCTGCCACACCTGGTGTCTGAAGGGGTCACGATAGGGAGCTTTTCCTGACCTGATTTCCTCCTTCCCATCAACCACCACCCCGCCAGGCTGACCTGAGGGTGGAGGCATATCACGCCCACCGCCTGTACACCGACTTCTATCCCGTGAGGGAGAGGGTGGTGATCGCTCACGTGCCGCCACACCTGGTGTCGGAGGGAGTCGTTGTGGAGAGCTGCTGACCAGTCTTCCTTCCCTTCCCCTCTCAATTGTCCTCCTCCCTGGCAGGCTGACCTGAGGGTGGAGGCGTATCACGCCCACTGCCTGTACACCGACTTCTATCCCGTGAGGGAGAGGGTGGTGATTGCGCAGGTGCCACACCTGGTGTCGGAGGGAGTCATCGTGGAGAGCTGCTGCTGAATTTTATTTCTTTCCTTCACCTCTCAATGTGTCCCCCTCCCTCCCAGGCTGATCTGAGGGTGGAGGCATACCACGCCCACCGCCTGTACACCGACTTCTATCCCGTGAGGGAGCGAGTGGTGATTGCCCAGGTGCTGCCGCACCTGGTGTCTGAAGGAGTGATTGTGGAGAGCTTTGAGCGCGGGGAGCCGCTGCACCGGTTTCTGCACTCAAAGGAGAACAACTCGCTCAACACACAGGTGGGTGCATGAGGCCCATGCAATTGGCAGCAATGTTGCATGCATATGGATGTGTGATGCGAAGGAGAGCCGCTGCACAGGTGGGTGGGCGGGCGGGTGGGTGGGTGGGCGATAGCAGATAGCAGCAGTGGGAGTAGACGCCAACCTCAAGGTGCTGCTACAGGACAACCACATCCACCTGGACCTGCATTTTGACGAACCCTCTCAACTACCACCTTTCATCATTCCTCCCCCCCCTGCAGATAGCAGCAGTGGGAGTAGACGCGTACCTGAAGATGCTGCTACAGGACAACCATATCCACCTGGACCTGCACCCCGGTAACATCCTGGCTCGCATGGCGGCACCCCCACCTGCACAAGCAACAGTAGAGGGCAGGCTACAGACGGGCGCGCTACAGCCGGGTGGGCTACAGCAAGAGGGGCAGGCACAGCAGAGCGCACTACAGCTGGTGATTCTGGACTATGGGCTGATGGAGGACCTCTCAGCTCACGTGCGCTCCAACTTCCTTTGCTTCATCGCCTCCATCATGTCCTCCAACGCCAACCAAGCGGTCAGTGCTCCCTCTCCTTCCTCTCCTCCCGCTTCCCCCTCTCTCCCCTCCCTCTCTCCCCTCTCTCCCTTGCTTTCTCAAGCTTCATCGCCTCCATCTCCAACGCCATACAAGCTGTACTTCCTTGGCTCTCTCTTGCTCACTCTGTCTTTTCCACTCCTCCCTTCCCCACCCTCTCCCCTTCTCGTCCCCATCGCCCCTTCCTTTCGTGCTCTATGCCCCAGACCAAATTTAATTCCTCGGTCGTACCTTTGTGTGTTTCCACCGTCCCACCCACACCCGCACCTCTACAAGCAGACCCACTACTTGCTTCAGTTCGCGGCACCGTTCCCCCAGCGCTGCACCAACCGGGATGCACTAGAGGCTGACATGCGCGAGCTGTTTGCCAGAGACTGCCAGCTACACCGCCGATGCATGGACCTTAATGACGTGCTTAAAAAGGTGGGGGATTCAGTGTTGATTGTTGGTGACTCAATGCTTCACGTTTTGGTCTTGCATTTTTTTTTTTTTTTTTTTTTTTTTCATTGTCTGTTTGATGAATGGTTGTTCTTTTCTTTCCTTGCAGGTTCTCCGAATATGCTGGGTGCATCATGTCACAGTGCATTCCTCATACGCCTCGCTCCTTATCGCCATGTGTATTCTAGTGGGGTTCGGCCAGACGCTCGACCCCGAAATGTCCATCTTGGATGCAGCGGCTCCGTGCTTCTTCCTCTACAATCTCACAGGCCGCATTATTGGCAGAATATATGGCTAGATCAGTTATCCTCACTTCAACAGCTGAGTTAGCTCCACTAAGTTTGGAGCTTTCTAGCTACATGGTTTGCTCTTAAGGTCTGTTGCGTGTTGCGTTTAGATGGATTGCACTCATGTCCTCACTCCGCAAGAAGCTAATAGAGCGGACAGTCACTGTCCATTTCTGAACTCAGCAATCTGTCGGCTGACGCTAGCGACACATCAGAGTCCTCTGTCACAGCTCACGTGCTGCAATATGCAATCAACTTCATCCACGTCAGCACGACATCGAGGAACCCAATTCGTGGTTCTTCCTCGAAGGGACAACTTTGACCCCACCGCTTCGTCTTCTAGGTCAATCACGCAAATCTTGACCCTTTCCAGACCAGGTGGGTGTTTCCAGGCCTCCGCTTCCCGCCTTTCAGCACTCCCCTGTCACCCCTTCCTTTCGAAAGTTCACACTGGTACGGTTCAAGTAGGTTTCGTTGCGCACCAGAGAGTTCTGCTGGGAAACCAGAGCGGTTGATGCTTTGAGAAGCAAACTGCAGTTTATCAACACTCCATGCTTTCAATTTTTTTGTGCCATGCCATTCTTTGGGAGCTGACATCAGTTAGTGGCTCCGTAGGGGGCCTTAGTCCTCTAGCGATAGCTCGCAGGGCTCGGCAGACGAGCTACGTTACCACAGAATTAGCCGGCGGATCAGTTTGTTCGTATCAAGCGCAGCGGTTAAAGAAGCCTATTTTCTGAGCATAACATAGAGGCGAGTTTTGAGGTACCTCAGGAGTCGTTTAGCAAACCTCTCTTTCCACGGCATGACGTAGAGGCCTTCGGTGCTACACCGCGATGTTTCCCCCGTCCTCCATCCATGGCAGCGCGGGCCGAGCCTCGGGATCATCGCCGTCGTTAAGTGCGTCCGTTAGTGGCGGCGATGGCGACTCGGACGTGCTGGATCACCGGCAACTGCTGGGGCTGCTGCAGGTTGAGCGCAGGGATGCGCGGGGGGATGCGCGGGGGGATGCCGGGGGAGCGGGCCCGTGGAGGCTGGTGCCAATCGCCAAGGAGCTGGTACGTGAGTGGGTGAATGTTTTGAGACGTTTCAAAATTGGTACGCGAGTGGGTGAATGTTTTGAGACGTTTCAAAATCGGTACGTGAGTGTGAATCTACATCGTTATGCATGTGCGTGTGCTTTTGAGTCGACTCAAAAATAGTTATGCGTGTGCGTGTGTGTGTAGATGCGCGTATGTGGGGAGGGAGGGGTTGCGCGGGGGAATGGGGGGGGGTGAATGTCATGTGAATGAGCGACAGAACTCGAAATTTGATTAGTTGTTTGATAAATCTGCTTTACTTGCAACTGGCATGTCAGGATGGCCGAGTTGGTCTAAGGCAATATGGGTGTTTTAGTGTAGCTTAGGGTACTGTCACTGATGTGCAGTTGTAGGAGTGTTCTGTCAAGTCAGTTCTGTCCTGTTGGTCGTGTCAGTTCTGTCACGTCTGTCCTGTTTCTGTCCAGTCGTGTCTTACACGCCTAGTTGTCTTCACCGGTCCACCACCTCACCATGTCATCACACCAAACCTGCACTGTGTCAATTCTGTCCCACCTTATCTTCATTCACTCATCCTTTCCTCTGTCTTGTTCACATGTTCCTGTCTTTCAAACATCTCTCTAGTAGCTCTCTTGGCATTTTCTAGAAACCTTTGTACATATTGTATATAAAACCATGTACACAGGGACATTGTAAATAAAGTCTGGTCTAAGGCGCCAGTTTCAGGTACTGGTCCGAAAGGGCATGGGTTCGAACCCCATACCTGACACGCCTTTTGTTGGGTTAGGCGCTCGCTCCCTTGCCCCCGTTTCCCTCCCTCATCCCTGTCCTTCTTCGCTTGTGGCACTGCACAGGAAGCGTCAGCACTCCTTTCTGATGTTCCCTCAGCTTCAAGTACTATTCAGGAACAGAGGGAGCGTCAGCATTTGATGCTGCATATAGATTCTCACATTCTTTCCCCGTTTCCTCCTCCCCGTCTCTGCCCAATCCCTAGATGTGGGGGGGTTCATTGCCGTGCGTGCCATTCAGGAGATGAAGAAGCGATAATGATCCCTACACTCCCTCCCCTCCCCCTTTTCGAATCCCCTCTCCTCCCCAGTCCCTGGACGCGGGGCATTTCATCGTGGTGTGGGACATTCAAAAGTTGAGGGAGTATCAGCACCGCCACATGCAGGTGCTTTTGAGTCGACTCAAGAGTTACTGCACCGCCACATGCAGGTGCTTTTGAGTCGACTCAAGAGTTACTGCACCGCCACATGCAGGTGCTTTTGAGTCGACTCAAGAGTTACTGCACCGCCACATGCAGGTGCTTTTGAGTCGACTCAAGAGTTACTGCACCGCCACATGCAGGTGCTTTTGAGTCGACTCAAGAGTTACTGCACCGCCACATGCAGGTGCTTTTGAGTCGACTCAAGAGTTACTGCACCGCCACATGCAGGTGCTTTTGAGTCGACTCAAGAGTTACTGCACCGCCACATGCAGGTGCTTTTGAGTCGACTCAAGAGTTACTGCACCGCCACATGCAGGTGCTTTTGAGTCGACTCAAGAGTTACTGCACCGCCACATGCAGGTGCTTTTGAGTCGACTCAAGAGTTACTGCACCGCCACATGCAGGTGCTTTTGAGTCGACTCAAGAGTTACTGCACCGCCACATGCAGGTGCTTTTGAGTCGACTCAAGAGTTACTGCACCGCCACATGCAGGTGCTTTTGAGTCGACTCAAGAGTTACTGCACCGCCACATGCAGGTGCTTCTGAGTCGACTCAAGAGTTACTGCACTGCCACATGCAGGTGCTTTTGAGTCGACTCAAGAGTTACTGCACCGCCACATGCAGGTGCTTTTGAGTCGACTCAAGAGTTACTGCACCGCCACATGCAGGTGCTTTTGAGTCGACTCAAGAGTTACTGCACCGCCACATGCAGGTGCTTTTGAGTCGACTCAAGAGTTACTGCACCGCCACATGCAGGTGCTTTTGAGTCGACTCAAGAGTTACTGCACCGCCACATGCAGGTGCTTTTGAGTCGACTCAAGAGTTACTGCACCGCCACATGCAGGTGCTTTTGAGTCGACTCAAGAGTTACTGCACCGCCACATGCAGGTGCTTTTGAGTCGACTCAAGAGTTACTGCACCGCCACATGCAGGTGCTTTTGAGTCGACTCAAGAGTTACTGCACCGCCACATGCAGGTGCTTTTGAGTCGACTCAAGAGTTACTGCACCGCCACATGCAGGTGCTTTTGAGTCGACTCAAGAGTTACTGCACCGCCACATGCAGGTGCTTTTGAGTCGACTCAAGAGTTACTGCACCGCCACATGCAGGTGCTTTTGAGTCGACTCAAGAGTTACTGCACCGCCACATGCAGGTGCTTTTGAGTCGACTCAAGAGTTACTGCACCGCCACATGCAGGTGCTTTTGAGTCGACTCAAGAGTTACTGCACCGCCACATGCAGGTGCTTTTGAGTCGACTCAAGAGTTACTGCACCGCCACATGCAGGTGCTTTTGAGTCGACTCAAGAGTTACTGCACCGCCACATGCAGGTGCTTTTGAGTCGACTCAAGAGTTACTGCACCGCCACATGCAGGTGCTTTTGAGTCGACTCAAGAGTTACTGCACCGCCACATGCAGGTGCTTTTGAGTCGACTCAAGAGTTACTGCACCGCCACATGCAGGTGCTTTTGAGTCGACTCAAGAGTTACTGCACCGCCACATGCAGGTGCTTTTGAGTCGACTCAAGAGTTACTGCACCGCCACATGCAGGTGCTTTTGAGTCGACTCAAGAGTTACTGCACCGCCACATGCAGGTGCTTTTGAGTCGACTCAAGAGTTACTGCACCGCCACATGCAGGTGCTTTTGAGTCGACTCAAGAGTTACTGCACCGCCACATGCAGGTGCTTTTGAGTCGACTCAAGAGTTACTGCACCGCCACATGCAGGTGCTTTTGAGTCGACTCAAGAGTTACTGCACCGCCACATGCAGGTGCTTTTGAGTCGACTCAAGAGTTACTGCACCGCCACATGCAGGTGCTTTTGAGTCGACTCAAGAGTTACTGCACCGCCACATGCAGGTGCTTTTGAGTCGACTCAAGAGTTACTGCACCGCCACATGCAGGTGCTTTTGAGTCGACTCAAGAGTTACTGCACCGCCACATGCAGGTGCTTTTGAGTCGACTCAAGAGTTACTGCACCGCCACATGCAGGTGCTTTTGAGTCGACTCAAGAGTTACTGCACCGCCACATGCAGGTGCTTTTGAGTCGACTCAAGAGTTACTGCACCGCCACATGCAGGTGCTTTTGAGTCGACTCAAGAGTTACTGCACCGCCACATGCAGGTGCTTTTGAGTCGACTCAAGAGTTACTGCACCGCCACATGCAGGTGCTTTTGAGTCGACTCAAGAGTTACTGCACCGCCACATGCAGGTGCTTTTGAGTCGACTCAAGAGTTACTGCACCGCCACATGCAGGTGCTTTTGAGTCGACTCAAGAGTTACTGCACCGCCACATGCAGGTGCTTTTGAGTCGACTCAAGAGTTACTGCACCGCCACATGCAGGTGCTTTTGAGTCGACTCAAGAGTTACTGCACCGCCACATGCAGGTGCTTTTGAGTCGACTCAAGAGTTACTGCACCGCCACATGCAGGTGCTTTTGAGTCGACTCAAGAGTTACTGCACCGCCACATGCAGGTGCTTTTGAGTCGACTCAAGAGTTACTGCACCGCCACATGCAGGTGCTTTTGAGTCGACTCAAGAGTTACTGCACCGCCACATGCAGGTGCTTTTGAGTCGACTCAAGAGTTACTGCACCGCCACATGCAGGTGCTTTTGAGTCGACTCAAGAGTTACTGCACCGCCACATGCAGGTGCTTTTGAGTCGACTCAAGAGTTACTGCACCGCCACATGCAGGTGCTTTTGAGTCGACTCAAGAGTTACTGCACCGCCACATGCAGGTGCTTTTGAGTCGACTCAAGAGTTACTGCA